TGCCCAGCACGTGTCTGGCTCTTGCACAAGGGGTGCAACCAAGCAGGGAAGAGTTCTGCCCCACACGGCTGTGCTGTGCCTCCCACTCAGATGGGGAGGAGGTCTTGGTCTCCAGAGAACTGGCTGGGGACACACAGCTCTCTGAAAGCTGGTGTTGCTGTATTTGCCATGGACTGTAGTGCATCTTCCTCAGCATCTCAGCTCCTGGCTGTCTTTAAAGCCTCGCCTAGGTGGCAGTAGTGACTCTCAGATAGACCTGTATGCACATCATTACACACTCCTGATTTTGCTTCAGGTAAAAAGACACAGCTGTGGAAGCGCACCCTTTAGTCCAGAATAGAAGTAAGGTCTATTTGTAAAGACAGTCCCTAAAGGGAAATAATTCAGCAATAGTCACCTGGACAATTCACCCCAGCCCAGACATCTCTCAGAGCACAAGCAGCAGGGTATGCCTTGCAGGAGTGAGGAGCTTCATCCTCCAGGCAGCCACCCTGCTCCATGCAACACTGGCCCCAGTAGCAGAGATCAGGAGCAGATCCAAAATCCATAGGTGCTCCCCCTGAGTGTCCAGCCTATTCCCTGTAGCACCCTTAGGAGTTGGGAGGATGTGACACAGGTCTGGCCTGTGGCTATGTGAATATCTCACATCTTACCAGTCCTTCCCCTCCTCCCAGTGTGATTCCTCTCCAGCTGCCCCACAATGATAGGAAAGGGGTAGAAACTGTAGAGCTGCAGGCCCCAAGAGGGAAAGGGGGTAGTTGTTCTCTGCTGTATATAGGCACTGTTTCTAGCTGCTCCTAACCAGTGCTGCTGGTGGCTTGTCCTCCCCATGGCTTGCACCCCTTTGCTGGTGGTTAACCACTGGTGAGGACAGGAGAGGGGGACCAGCTAGCCCCATGGGTGCACCAGGAGGGACTGGGCATGCATCCCTTGCTCTGTGGCTGTGAGTGAAAGCAATACTGTAAATAGGAGGGTTATTTTTTGGAGGGAAGCCCCTTGGGCTTCTTATTCTGTGGGCTTAGCCTAATATTTAGGCTTGGGAGGGGGTTACTTTATTGAGAGAAGTTCATTATGACTTGGGGGGACTCCCTCCAGTCCATCTCTCCCACCATGGGAGAGGAAAGAACGAATGACGAAGGTGGAGGAGGAGAAAAACTAGTTGTACTCACCCAAACTCATCTGTGTCATCCTTCATGTTTTCATTTGGGGTGTGGGGGGAACCAAGAGGAGGAGGCAGCTATAAATACCCAACCCTCAGCGCAAATATGTGCTGTACTTTTTGGGAGGAACTGCCCATCGCTTATCCCCAATCCTTGGTGAGGGAGTGAGGGACCCAGTGCATGAGGAGACATACAGACTTTACGTGGGTAGTCTACCTGGGACTCTGTTTTGGAATGTAGCACAGGATCATTTTACATGGCCTTTCTCCCATCAGAGTTATATAGATGGCTTAACACCATTTGGGTTTGATGACTAATGAGCAAGCTTTTCTTTATCCTCTTTAGCTTGCTTCCCTCATGTAAACAGCTGATGGGCTTCAGTGGGCTTGAAGTAGGAATGAGCTTCCACCTCAGAGCTGGCACTTCAGTGAGACATGAGCCAGGCGGCTTCATCCTGGGTAACTGCCCACTTCTCTGGCCCTTTCTTCCTTGCTTTGTGTCATAGGAAAGGCATTGGTGTGGCAGGAGACACTACAACAGTAGATACTTGGGCAATTTCTTACTCTGGCTCATTGGAGAAGACACACTCTCCTTGGGTTGACATGCTTTCAGCCTTTGCATGGTGGTGACAGACCTGGGGGTGGGACTCTCCTTGTTTGCATGCAGCAATTTAACATGCGATTTTCAGTAGCATTTGGCTGGTTCTGCAGCTGATGGAGAGATACAGACCTACCCAAAGGGTTGGTTATCTTATCTTAGGCTCTTCTGATAAGGTGCTGCCTATTTCTGGTGAACATAGACAAGACCTGAGGAGCTGGCTGGAACATCTCTCTTTTAGATCTTAAATGTGGGTGAGATCAGCCCCACTCTAGGGATGAGTAGAACAGAGGGAAGGCTGTATAAGCAAAACGATAAGGCGGCTTTCTTCCCCCTCTGCCATTTGTCCAGATTACAGAGGATTACACATCCCCTGTTGGGAGCAGTGGCCCCGTCATGTCTTCTTATCTTATGAAGCCCCCCAGTAAGGAACGTTTTGTGAAAGCAGGGGCTGTGAAGGGCAAAGGGATGATGAAACCTTGCCCCACTTCTACCTGTGGCTTCAGTCTCCTGACTCGTCCCCGGCTCACCTACATCCCCACCACACTATTCACCTCATCACCACCCTTCCCCTCCGCGTTATTCCTGGCAGTTCCCTCAGGGGAGGAGGCGTCTTTGTCCCTGCACCCTCACAAGCACTTGGGAGGACCTGGGAAGGCAGTGTTGTGGGGTGATTCCCACAGGAGCCTCAGCTCCGGTCCCCAGAGCAGGTACAAGGCAAGGAACCCTGCAAGGCCACCTCATGCAGCAAGTCCAAACCGTCCATTCCAGACAAATCCCTGCTGCCTGCGTG